TGCCAGTTCTATTTTCATTTTGTCATCATGAAAAGTTAGAACACCAGGTAATACATTTTGTCAAAAATGTTCCTAGTCTTTAGAAAGGCTGCCAATTATAAATAAGGACATAAAAAGGTTATGTTCTTTCATAATGCTTTGAACTGTGGAGGGAAACAACAAAATTCACCGGTGGATCCTATCTAGTAAGCTGTTTTTCATGTTACAAAATGAAACTGCTGATTTATAGTCACCCTTTTGATGATGAAAGAATTAAGTCACTGGAGTCATCCCAGGGCCCCTTTTCCCTCATTATCACTGCTGATGACATCAGGCTGTTTCTGGCTGGCTGCTTTGTCCTGTGGGCTGACCCATATGGGAGAGCATAGAGAAGGAGGAGTAGGGTGGATGGAGCCTTTTCTTCCCAACGGCAGTCATTCTATTATCTGAGGCTTGCAAATCCTCCACCACATGCCACATCGTGACTCACTCTTCTGCATTGGAAAGTCCCGTGTTACGTTGTGCTTTGTCTTTTGGATGTGGGACTTTGGAAGTTGTAGGAGAGCCTACATTTACTTGGTTGTCAAATTAAATACTACATTTAATTGCACAACAGATGTATTGACCCCTTTTTTGTGTGCTTGCAAAACAGAACTTTCTGTACTGATGTTTATATTGTTTCTGATTAGCTTCAGAATCACATTCCAAAATAGGAAGCACCATCTCTAGAAATAAGCTTATACTTTAGCCTTACTGTTTAAATGAATTATGTTGGCCTGCCATCAATTTCCCCCTGGAAAACTGAGCTCCTGAAAGTGTTTCTTTTTCCTCCTTGCTTCCATTTGTAATGTGTGTCTGTAAACTATTCGGTGGATCCCAGTACCTTCTAGGCTGTGTAGTAGTATAGTGATCAAACACTTTTGGAATATTTGTGTAAGCAAGGTAGTCTTTGCTTATGATTTTGGTTCATTTCCTTTTTATAGTTTCTCTACCCCCATGTGGAAAGTCACCCCCTTCCAGAGAACCATCTGTTACTGGTTTCAGAAGAGAAATGTAAGTGTATCTTTAGATGATATATACAAACTTCATGAAGGGCACATCTCCTTGTGAAGTATGGGACTTGACTGAATCTTCTAGATGTTCACTCACCAGTGCTGAAGGTCTGGTCATCAAATGACCTTTGATGTTCATTTCAGATCTAGCACTCCTGTGGAAGGGCTTTTCCTTTTTGCCCCACTTGTCCCCTTAGGCTCTGCTCTGTTTCCCATCCCAGGAATGATGGGCTCCTATATGCATGGATTTCCATGTTTATCACATGGTAGAGTGTAGAACAGTTGTGGAGGTCACTTTTACCTTCTTTAGTTCATCCTTCTTCAGGGTATCTGTCACCTTGGATGGAGAAGGAGGAAGGTATTAGAAGCCAGTAGAATTTGATAGTAGAATTTGAGGACACATACTTGGTCACATTCTACCTGAAATAAGATTGGGACATCCTCTAATGAAGTTTTTTTCACTTTGGATGGGGAGGGTAGCAGAGAAGGGACAAAATCCACTCGTGGATCTTACCTACTAAGCCATCTTTCATGTTATAAAATGAAATTGCTGATTGATAATGGGAAGAACAGGCCTGGGGGTGTTAGGTTCATGTTCACTTTCTGTGCTCTTGACCAATTATCTATCTCCCATTTTTGTACCTAGTCTGGCAGAAGGTTAAGTATGGCTAATTCTAGATTGCTTCCTGGGAGAAAGGGACCATCCACAAATCTACCTAAATTGCTGAGAGTTCTCTTATTGTGAAACTGATCCCCGTAAAAATACCCCCCAATATCTTGTATAATGAGTTTTCTCCCCATTATTTTCATATGATATTTTCATATGATATTTGGAAATTGGAGATAAACCCTGCCAAAGGAACCCCTGTTAGCTCCAAATAAGACTGATGGTGCAGGGGAGGCCAACATTTGAGGGAACCCAGGGGAGCAGAAGGGTTAAATGTCTCATCCATTGTTGACATTGAGGAGCAGAGTAAATGCTAGATTTGCAATAGACTATGGAGAGAGGCTGGAGAAAGGTGGGTTTTGTTTTGCACTTATATTATGAAATTGCTCTCTGTGATAATACTATTTTTCCAGCCAGTTGATTCATCTGCATTGCTTTTATAAATAAACGTTCACCACTGTTAGGTGTAAAAAGGTGCTCATAATTTTCATAAAGGTTAAACTGTCTTTCTTTTGTTTATCTTTTTAAAGATATCGAAAAGTTTCATATCCAAGTCATCCAAGAAGATGGAAGTAGAGTGGTAAATATTTGAAATTTCTCTTGCTTCACAGTTTTTTCCCACAGAATGACATTTCTAGACGTTAAGGGTAGAGTAATGTTACAGACACAGACCATTTTCTTTATTCGATGTCTTTCAGATTACAGACTTGCTGTTGTAACATGTGAAATAATGTGAGATCTATGAAGGAGTTAATTATCTCCTTTATCTTGACCTCACTGTCCAATCTCAGTCTCCTGAGATAACTCATGACAACCTGTGTGACTCTTCCCACACCTTTACCTTGCTCATACAAACGTACACATATGCAGGAATTCAGTTGTTTTTACCAAAAGAGAATCTATTAATTTGCCATTTTTGTTTTTGCTTTTTACTTAGTATATCAGGGCTATCCCCGTAGGTTTTTAATTAGCAATGTAACCTTTTCCACTAATTTTTATGCATACATAGAATAAATGGGATCATAACATATATGCTGGGGGATAATACAGTTCAAGTTTTTTTTCCTTTTTTCTTTTTCTTTTTTTTTGCTTGTATGCTACTTCTCCCTTGTGTTTTCTCCTCTAACTTTTGTCTACAACCTATTATGTGTCCTTTCATGCTGTTCTTCATACGTGTATATATCTCATCCCCACCCCTGACACACCCAGAGGTTTGTTTATTATCCACTCCTTCCTCCTACAACTTTGTGGCATTACCTACAAGTCAACCTGAATATGTCAATTCATTCTTTTTAGAGACACATAATAGTCCCCAGCGTGGATGTACGCAACTTCAATCATTCTCCCATGGATGGCCACTTTTTTTTTTTT